AGCTGCCTTCCCTTCAAAAACAAAACATCACATTAATCACTTGTATGTATGTAATATTGACTCACGAACGTGTATAAACAGTATCTAAAATAAAGGATTATGTCAAAAATTATTGAAATTACATCACGGATTATACCTTCAGTTTGTAGTAAACTTGTGTTCGTTATTAGAATGAAAACAGTTTGCAAAATAGAAAGCTAGTTTACGAAGCTTGGGATACGAAATCAAGTTGGTCTAGTTAACCTTTATTGCAAGACTGTTAAACAAATATCCTGCACTTTCAATCGTGAAAAGAAACACGAAGCCATACTTACAAGTTAACCCATTTGTAACACGAAGCCATACATTCAAAAGACAACACAAGTCAACCCATTTGTAACACGAAGCCATACTTTCAAAAGACTCCACAAGTCAACCCATTTGTAACATGAAGCCAGTCTTTCAACAGACAACACAAGTCAACCCATTTATAACACGAAGCCAGTCTTTCAACAGACTCCACAAGTCAACCCATTTGTAACACGAAGCCAGCCTTTCAACAAACTCCACAAGTCAACCCATTTGTAACATGAAGCCAGACTTTCAACAGACTTCACAAGTCAACCCATTTGTAACAAAGAAGTAGTATCAACTCACAAAGGTAGTGTTGACTCGAATGGATAGACGGTCGATTATGAAACGAAATATGTAAGTCGTTCTGGAACATTTTAAGTATGGTGACACGAACTCTGCTCAAGATTGTTTATTAGAAACGTTAACAGAAAAATAAAATATGGTTTACAGAATAGCATTACTTTTACTAGCACTAACTCTGTCACGAACTTACTCTCAACATACAATAACTTACCAAAATGTGAATCATTCGATGAACTACAGGAAAATGTCCTTTCTATCTTTGAGGTACAGCAAGCTTAAAATCTCTTGATGTCAAACTTAGATAAAGTTTCCACTTTTCCACCCCAAAACCCCTAAGAGTGGGAAAATGCATAAGCTTGTATAGACAGAGGTTGAACACGTTATACTGAAATGATGACAGACATGCCACCAAGTCTAGTCACATTCTATCTGATGACAACACATCTTAACAATAGCCCTGCATCACAGCTTACATTCCAAAAGGCTCTGTCCTAAGGTTGTCATGTCCAAAAATATATATCTTTCCCGATTGCTTTCAATAATCCATCTATCGTACAAGGAAGGCG